GAAAAAAAGTATTAAAAGCTGAGGTGACTCAGTTGTTATGAAGAACATCCATAACTAGTGAGTTTGCCTGACAGCTAAAACACAGTGAGCGTTGCAAAGCTGCATTCCTTGTTTGTTGAGCAGGTGTGGTTTTTGACTCCACCTCAGATATAACATAAGGTAGTCACTGTCAACCTGGCTATATTTAGTTATGTTTCCATGGAGTGCAATGCTCTAAGCTGTTCTACAGAACTTAGGTTAAATAGACCAAAATGAGCCTGGATTGGATGTTGAATAGACAATAGACATTAATAGACCGTTCTCCATGGAAATTGAAAACATGAGTCAGTTGTGGGAATCGCTGTAAAGAGAAGTCATAGCTGCCGGACACGCTATTTCCTCAACAACATATTTTTTATGAATTAAAAATTTTTTCTAACAGCTGTTACCTCAGCAATAAGGTAAGAGCTGTGAAAAAACATCAATGTAATTTGCATATCTACCTGACGTTTGATTCGTCTAATTTAGTTCAGTCAAAAAGAACTGCAGTTAAAATAGTACGGACTTTATGGAGTTAAAGCTTAAGCGATGAGGCAATTCAGTTACAGGACAGGAAATGGAAGTAATTTGAGGATTAATTATTTTGAGTGTCTTTTCAAGTAAAAGTGCCATTCAGGTACAATTGAGCATTACTGAAACTAAGGAAGACAAAAGTATTTCAACATTTTTGCCACTTCAATTTTCAAATGTTTTAGAATAAGTTACTCAGTTGCAGTTACCCTCAGTTTAATGTGTATACAGTAGCCCTCCTTTGTACAGTCGCAGTCATCACCCTATGGTATTAAACAGAACAAAAAATGTGAGAATGATAACTCTTGGTCACAGTTGTGAGAAAGTTAACAGGAAAAGACTTCTGGTAGAAACAGGTTAAGTGAGGGGTTTTAATAACCTGCTTCGACTGGTTGGGGAAGGAGGGGAAAGACAAGGAAGGAAGGAGAATATATAGAATAACGCGCAAATATTTATTTCAAAATAAGACACACAACTACAACACGGGAAAAGACCCAGGGAAACTGAGTTAATGATAAAGACCCTGAAAACCGTAAATTTCACAGCTTTATGATGTATAAATAGTGATGTGAAAAAAGTTTTCACTGGACTCTGCAGCCCTGTGAAAACTAAGTACACCTCATGATTCAGTAGCTTTTAGAAGCACCTTTACCAACAATAACTTGAAGTTGTCATTTTCGGTACAACCCGTTCTTCTTTACAATTTAGGTTCAGTTCACTTATGTTTACAGGCACTCTAAATGCACAGGTGACCTAAGCTCTTGCCATATCATTTGTGGACTTTGTCTGGGTCATTGCAACTCGGAGGGGGGGCTATTTTTCAGCCATTCTGTTATAGGCTTGCTGGTATGCTTGGGACCACTGTCTTGTTGCATGAACCAGTTTCAGTCAAGCTGTAGCTGATCTACTTTCGTCTACAGACAAGTTCGTGTTCGATTCATTGACTGCAAGGTGCCCAGTTCCCGTGCCTTCAAAATAAGCCATATCACCATATCAGCCCTCTGCATTTTGCCCAGACATCTCTAGTTTGGTCTTCTCTGTCCAAAGAACATTGTTTCACAAGACAAGTTTTTCCATACAAGTTATATCTCATTCAACCACAACACCCAGGATTTGTTTGTCGATGTTGTTTAGCCTTTGATGGCTCTTTTTAGAGAGCCTGAGCTTTCGTTACTCCAATGAAGGCAGTATGGCGTAACACTAGTTTAGCATTAAAATAAATCATAAATGTAGTGGTTGCTTCAGTGCTGGTGTTATTAGAGGAAACAGGAATGTCAAATGAACCACATAATCAGTCGGACCTGTTCCAGTGAAGCAGAATTTAACCTCTAACTTCAGTGAGCAGCCGCTCTGTGAGCCGTTTTCCTCAAGAAAATGTGTCACTATCACAAAGTGCATTTTTTTTTTATCATATGAAGGTCATATCTTCATTGACATCGGCAAAGCTTGTTTTGCATGCGTCTCACAACATGTTTAGTCAAAAGCAGTCTAGGCTGCTTATGCAGGCATAGAAAAAAAGAAAGCAAACCGTAGTGATTGGTGCGTGAACATTTGGAGTTTCTTCCTGCTGATTTTAAGGCTGAGAGAAAAGGCACTACAATGTATGCTTAGTATGTTACCAAAGTGCCACTCCCCCAGGCGTCATTCTGACTATTGACCGCTGCTGAAACGCTGGGGCTTTAATTAGCACTAGTGTAACTAATTGGCTTATATAGAAGGGACATTGATGGGAGGCAAGAAAATGAATTAATGAGGAAAGGCATTGGCAGATTAAATTGCACTGCTAAAAATTAAAAATGGATGCCTGGATCTCCTGGTGAAATTGGCATTTAGATCCAAAACAACGTCAGAAATCCATTGAGGGTTGTAAGCGCGTGGGTGGGGTAGATGTCAGATTTCGCGTGCGTACCCGTGCGTACATGCTTATTTTTATGTGTATGCGCCTCTGTGTGTGGACTCTTCATCAGAGCTCATGGAACTACATGCTCATTTAGCTGACAGCAGAAATCTCTCAAGCGCTGGATGTGCTTCGATGTAAAGTACGTTAACCTTTAAAACAAAGCCGGCCCTGGCCTCTCTCATTCTCCTGTAATTGCTTGCACTGGGTAAGCACACTCGCCTGAAAAGGTTATCGTGTTCCTTGTCAGTTGTCATGATAAATGAGCAAACATAGCAGGAAACTGAAAATTGCAAGTTTAGATTTAGAAAAAAAAACACTCTCTCTTAGCAAGCTGGCATGTAGCATTTGCAAAAATTATTGCTCCATTGTTTCGTATCTCAAATTATTAAAAAGCAAGCAAACAAGCAAGAAAGGCGATGCAGGCAGGCAGTAAATTAACACACACAGGAAGCAAAAGTGGATTCTAGACTGCTACACTGCTGCTACATTAATATTCACCAGAGTCTAGTACAACCTCCAAGTTTCTGCTGGCATATTCTGTTTTCTCTAGTGATGTGTCTACTGCCAGCATGAGTGTGTGTGTGTGTGTGTGTGTGTGTGTTAGTTAACGTGGACAGCAATGATGATGTTTGCGTCAAGTGTGAATATAATTATGTGTGATGTGCACATGCATCTTTTGTCTGTGTGTGTACACAGATCTGATTATGTGTGTAGCGTATTTGCTGTGTGTATCATCAAATCTTGTCGGCATTATATTCTGGGTTTGTCTGTCAGTGATCCCAACAAAAATGATTGCATGTGTGCTGTTTGCTATCCATATGACTGACTATATTGCATAGTAAATGCTGTTTTTGTGCAAGCTGACTGTTTGCCTCGGTGACTCGCTGAGCTGGTGCGTGTATACCAAAATCGTTTTAGGTAAATCCTGCTTCAGAACAGTGCGTTTTCCGAAGCCAGGCTCATTTTAGATCATGAACCACATACAGCGTACTTTGATCTTAAGTGTCAGACAGTGTAAAGCCGTTTAATTACACATTTAATCTGTGAAAAATCTTAATATAGGGGAAAAAGATGGGCATTTTCAACTTTATGTCTTTATTTTTTGTATATGACAAACAAAGGCCGCTGTAGTAAATGAACAATATGTCAGTATTGGAAATAAATGTGTAAAAATAAGAGAAGTAGTTCTGGGTTGTCCTTGCCTAGACTTTCCTGTAATTACAAATACTTTAAACTTTTTGTTAATTCACAGGATTAACAAAAGAGTCAGATTTGAGGCCTTCCCAGGCCGATTCTGGCCAGCGGACCTTGAATTTGTCACCCCTGGCATAGAGTTTTCTAAGTGGCTCGTCTGTCAGTTGCATTCTGTGCATTCACCATTATGTCTCTCTTGGTGCACAACGTCCTGTTAGACAGCACACATAATCACGTGGACTTTTGTCCACACTGTTTGCCTGTTTCCTTATCTGTCCTCTCCTTATACTGTACGTCTCCATGTTACAACCTCAAGCAGCCTGGGTGATCACAGCTAGACAGTAGGCAGCATTGATAAGCTGGAGGTAGAAGGTGAATGGCTGGTGATGGCTGTTATCGCCAGAGGCTGGCTCAGGCTTAGGCACCGCTGCCTGCTGGACCCTGAAAACTCATTTTGACAGATGCATCTCCTCCCTAGCTGTTGACGCGCTGCGGGGGGCTGATGACACTTGCTTGCCCATGCGGCTCAGGGTAGCGTTTGCTGGCACCACGTTGGGCCAAACCTGCAATTTATAGTTTGCCCCAGGCATTAAACTGAGTAATGAAAGAAGAAAAAAGAAACCACCATCTCACCATGCCTACCACCAATCTGCCAGCCCAAAATGTAGCTTCCACCAGTCTTGACTATTTTAACTGGGTTTAACCGTGAGATGAATTCCTGATTCTCTTTATTTTCTGTCACTGTGGAAAGTTATGGCCGTCAGTTGTGTAAACCATGAGATAGAATTATTCGGGATGTGTTCTGTATCTCAGCAACTAGACACACACCTGGGAGTGTTTGTTTTTCAACCATACAGATGCAGTGTATGCATAATTTTCAGAGCAGCATCCAGGCCCTGCCGTGTTGTTCGTCCCTGTCCAATCAAAGATACAACAGTGCTCACGGTGAATCAGCTACTTCCTTTTGAACTGTTAAGTCAGCTTACCGAGAGAGCCATTTGCCATATTGGACCCTCCATCCACAGAAAGCTCTAACTGAGGGTTTTTTAGTCAAAATCACTCAAGCGTGTCAAAACAAGCCATGAGAAAAACAAAGCACAATTAATAATTAGGTGCAGTTCTTTCCCACAAGTAGAATAAAAACCACACCTGAAATTCAGACAACTAACATGTGGCTCTGTGCCAGTGAATAGGAGGTGCTTTTGGGCTGCTTCCAAAGCTGTTTTCTCAGTCTCCTTTTTTTCTCTTTTCAGATTTTAACCCTGCTCTAAGCTGCATCGGAGGGGGTTCAGACATTCCCCTGACTCCACCAGGAGGCTAACTCCAACCTGTCTGTCAGCTCAGATAACCCTCTGATTGTTGACAACCACATGTTTGCGGTGACTGTATGTGACCGCCGCCGCCGCCCATTCTCGAGCAGCAGCAACAGCCTCCTGCGACCCCGACCTGCATCATGCAGTGGAGACGGCGGCACTGCTGTCCCATCAAGATGACCTGGACCGTCAAGCGCTCCCTCTTTCGGACCCACGTGGCCGGGCTCGTCTCACTGGCCCTGCTCTTCGCCATTTTCTTATTTTTCAGCCACCAAGACTGGCTGCCAGGGCACAGTGGGCCTCGCGAAAACCCGCTTGCCTACACTGTCAGGGGCCTCCGAAGTCCCAAGGGAGAGGCGAACCAGAGCAACTCCCTGAGGGGCCTTTGGAGGGAAACAGGGAATGTTGCACCAAAACATCTCCTCAACCTCAGCGCTCAGCAGGGTGAGGGAGCAGCAGGAGAGGCAGCAGGCGTGGGGGGAGGAGGAGGTGGAGGAGCCAGAATGGGTGTAATGGGGCTCGGGGACTCGATGAGTACTAACAACACGCTAGAGAAGGAGATGGGTGTTGGCGGGAGGCTTAGCGCCCAGCCCTATCGATACATCCTGAACGAGCCCTTCAAGTGCAGAGACAGCACACCCTTTCTCATCCTGCTCATAGCTGCAGAGCCAGGACAGGCCGATGCCCGCAATGCAATCCGCCAGACATGGGGAAACGAGAGCGTGGCCATGGGCCTGGGGTTTGTCCGTCTTTTCCTGCTCGGCACAGGAAAGAGTTCGGACACCCTCCTTCAGAGCAGAATCGAGGAAGAGAGCCGCGTTTACCACGATATCATTCAACAGGACTATCAGGACACTTACTACAACCTGACCATCAAAACTCTGATGGGCATGAACTGGGTAGCTACCTATTGCCCACATGCTTCCTACGTGATGAAGACAGATAGTGACATGTTTGTCAATACAGAATATCTCATCCAGAAGCTGCTGAAACCTGAGATGCCTGCGAGGCAGAGGTATTTCACTGGCTACCTGATGAGGGGCTATGCACCAAACCGAAACAAAGACAGCAAGTGGTATATGCCACCAGAGGTGTATCCAAGCGAGCGCTACCCGATATTCTGCTCAGGCACGGGGTACGTGTTCTCAGGGGACATGGCCGAGCTGATCTACCAGGCCTCGCTCAGCATACGCAGGCTGCACCTGGAGGATGTTTACGTGGGAATCTGCCTGGCGAAGCTGCGCATCGAACCAGCACCTCCTCCCAACGAGTTCCTTTTCAACCACTGGCGTGTGTCTTACTCCAGTTGTAAGTACAGCCACCTCATCACATCCCATCAGTTCCAACCCAATGAACTCATCAAGTACTGGAACCACTTGCAAAGCAACAAGCACAACGCCTGTATCAACATGGCCAAGGAAAAGAGCGGCAGGCACAGACACCGGAAGTTCCACGGAGAGAGGCCTCCGTGATGGATCCTGCGATTACACCCCATCTCAAAAAAAAAGAAGAAGAAAGATGGGAAGGATAGAAAAGCTCAGTGTAACTACAGATGGTGAAGGGCATGTTGAACTCTCAGCACTATACCTTATGGGGATAAGCACATTGTTTTTGTTATTGTGTACAGTTGATTCAAACTATTTTTTTAATCAAAAAATGAAAAAAAAATATGTATTGTAAATCTATTGAGCTATTTCCAAAAGGGAGAATCGGGGACATTTCTGTGTGAAATGGAGCGTGCTAAAAAAAAAAAAAAAAAGCTGCAGCTCAAGAGCGGTGTTTATGATAATTCAGGTGCCAACAGAAAGGTGGTAATTTATGCTCTTCTCTAAAGGGTAGTACTGTATGTCACATTCTACGAATACACAAAAAAAAGAAAAGAAAAAAAAAGAAAAACATTAAGACACAAGTGTGTTTACAAAGACAAAGGGAAATGTACATGTACTATGTCAAAAAGTTATACTACCTAAATATGAATGAATGATATGAACCTTTGACGTTGACCAGTTATGCTGCCCTGTTTCTCAGTGTTTACTTTCCAGATCTATCGATGAATACCACCCTAAAGAGAAGGTTTATCTGTCATATACTGTATTTTATTTAAAACGATCGACATGAACGCACCCAGAATCACATCAGAGATGACTGAGATTGTATTTTTTAAAGCTTTACATTGACTATGACTCTGCACTTCAGCAAATGTGCAATGAATCTGTTAACGATTAAACGTTCCAAAATCACTTTGTGTGCAGCAGTGTGTGTCTGTTTCGTCGGGGGTTCTTCCTAAGCTGTCGAACATAAAGTGGTGTGGACCACCGGACGTTAGCAAAGGAGCTACAGTGAGCCTTGGCATCAAAAAGAGTACCGAATGGATGGAACACATTTCTGCTAATAGAAATAACTAAATTTCCCTCATATGTATCCAATCGGGCTGACATCTATTCACTGCAATGTCCTGTGCTTCACACTTTTTCCACACAAACCATGCAATAAGCCCTGTACCTTATGTACAGTGGCGGTGAAAGTTCAAATGCACAGCAACTCAAAACACCACATGAAAAATAGTTAAAAGCAAATATAGAAAAATACACACAAGCGAAATTAATGAAATGCCACAAAAGCTTACGAGAAAAAAAAAACTCACCAAACCCAAGGAACGTGTTTCTGGGGAGACAATAACGTGATGAAACTATTTTGGAAATCACAAGCGACAGTAAATGGCTAATAGCAAACATGTATGTGTGAATCTTGAGATTAAAACGTACATTAGGTTGCATCTTTTTCTTCCTCACAGCAATGAATCCTTTGCTTTTTTGAAGAGTCTCAGTGCACTGTTACTACCGCAGCCGTTCCATCACAGTCAGTAGCGGTCCTAGCCT